AGCCAGCTTGTTACCTGGAGAGGATACAAGAGGAACAGACCAGCCAGCTTGTTACCTGGAGAGGAACCAGCCAGCTTGTTACCTGGAGAGGATACAAGAGGAACATACCAGCCAGCTTGTTACCTGGAGAGGATACAAGAGGAACAGACCAGCCAGCTTGTTACCAGGAGAGGATACAAGAGGAACAGACCAGCCAGCTTGTTACCAGGAGAGGATACAAGAGGAACAGACCAGCCAGCTTGTTACCTGGAGAGGATAAAAGAGGAACAGACCAGCCAGCTTGTTACCTGGAGAGGATACAAGAGGAACAGACCAGCCAGCTTGTTACCTGGAGAGGATACAAGAGGAACAGACCAGCCAGCTTGTTACCTGGAGAGGATACAAGAGGAACAGACCAGCCAGCTTGTTACCAGGAGAGGATACAAGAGGAACAGACCAGCCAGCTTGTTACCAGGAGAGGATACAAGAGGAACAGACCAGCCAGCTTGTTACCTGGAGAGGATACAAGAGGAACAGACCAGCCAGCTTGTTACCTGGAGAGGAACCAGCCAGCTTGTTACCTGGAGAGGATACAAGAGGAACATACCAGCCAGCTTGTTACCTGGAGAGGATACAAGAGGAACAGACCAGCCAGCTTGTTACCAGGAGAGGATACAAGAGGAACAGACCAGCCAGCTTGTTACCAGGAGAGGATACAAGAGGAACAGACCAGCCAGCTTGTTACCAGGAGAGGATAAAAGAGGAACAGACCAGCCAGCTTGTTACCTGGAGAGGAACCAGCCAGCTTGTTACCTGGAGAGGATACAAGAGGAACATACCAGCCAGCTTGTTACCTGGAGAGGATACAAGAGGAACAGACCAGCCAGCTTGTTACCTGGAGAGGATACAAGAGGAACAGACCAGCCAGCTTGTTACCAGGAGAGGATACAAGAGGAACAGACCAGCCAGCTTGTTACCTGGAGAGGATACAAGAGGAACAGACCAGCCAGCTTGTTACCTGGAGAGGATACAAGAGGAACAGACCAGCCAGCTTGTTACCAGGAGAGGATACAAGAGGAACAGACCAGCCAGCTTGTTACCAGGAGAGGATACAAGAGGAACAGACCAGCCAGCTTGTTACCAGGAGAGGATACAAGAGGAACAGACCAGCCAGCTTGTTACCCAGGAGAGGATACAAGAGGAACAGACCAGCCAGCTTGTTACCAGGAGAGGATACAAGAGGGACAGACCAGCCAGCTTGTTACCAGGAGAGGATAAAAGAGGAACAGACCAGCCAGCTTGTTACCAGGAGAGGATACAAGAGGAACAGACCAGCCAGCTTGTTACCAGGAGAGGATAAAAGAGGAACAGGCCAGCCAGCTTGTTACCTGGAGAGGATACAAGAGGAACAGACCAGCCAGCTTGTTACCCTGGAGAGGATACAAGAGGAACAGACCAGCCAGCTTGTTACCAGGAGAGGATACAGAGGAACAGACCAGCCAGCTTGTTACCAGGAGAGGATACAAGAGGAACAGACCAGCCAGCTTGTTACCAGGAGAGGATACAAGAGGAACAGACCAGCCAGCTTGTTACCAGGAGAGGATACAAGAGGAACAGACCACCACTTGTTACCTGGAGAGGATACAAGAGGAACAGACCAGCCAGCTTGTTACCTGGAGAGGATACAAGAGGAACAGACCAGCCAGCTTGTTACCAGGAGAGGATACAAGAGGAACAGACCAGCCAGCTTGTTACCAGGAGAGGATACAAGAGGAACAGACCAGCCAGCTTGTTACCAGGAGAGGATACAAGAGGAACAGACCAGCCAGCTTGTTACCAGGAGAGGATACAAGAGGAACAGACCAGCCAGCTTGTTACCAGGAGAGGATACAAGAGGAACAGACCAGCCAGCTTGTTACCAGGAGAGGATACAAGAGGAACAGACCAGCCAGCTTGTTACCAGGAGAGGATACAAGAGGAACAGACCAGCCAGCTTGTTACCAGGAGAGGATACAAGAGGAACAGACCAGCCAGCTTGTTTACTAGGAGAGGATACAAGAGGAACAGACCAGCCAGCTTGTTACCAGGAGAGGATACAAGAGGAACAGACCAGCCAGCTTGTTACCAGGAGAGGATACAAGAGGAACAGACCAGCCAGCTTGTTACCAGGAGAGGATACAAGAGGAACAGACCAGCCAGCTTGTTACCTGGAGAGGATACAGAGGAACAGACCAGCCAGCTTGTTACCTGGAGAGGATACAAGAGGAACAGACCAGCCAGCTTGTTACCAGGAGAGGATACAAGAGGAACAGACCAGCCGGCTTGTTACCAGGAGAGGATACAAGAGGAACAGACCAGCCAGCTTGTTACCAGGAGAGGATACAAGAGGAAACAGACCAGCCAGCTTGTTACCAGGAGAGGATACAAGAGGAACAGACCAGCCAGCTTGTTACCAGGAGAGGATACAAGAGGAACAGACCAGCCAGCTTGTTACCAGGAGAGGATACAAGAGGAACAGACCAGCCAGCTTGTTACCTGGAGAGGATACAAGAGGAACAGACCAGCCAGCTTGTTACCTGGAGAGGATACAAGAGGAACAGACCAGCCAGCTTGTTACCAGGAGAGGATACAAGAGGAACAGACCAGCCAGCTTGTTACCAGGAGAGGATACAAGAGGAACAGACCAGCCAGCTTGTTACCAGGAGAGGATACAAGAGGAACAGACCAGCCAGCTTGTTACCAGGAGAGGATACAAGAGGAACAGACCAGCCAGCTTGTTACCTGGAGAGGATACAAGAGGAACAGACCAGCCAGCTTGTTACCAGGAGAGGATACAAGAGGAACAGACCAGCCAGCTTGTTACCAGGAGAGGATACAAGAGGAACAGACCAGCCAGCTTGTTACCTGGAGAGGATACAAGAGGAACAGACCAGCCAGCTTGTTACCAGGAGAGGATACAAGAGGAACAGACCAGCCAGCTTGTTACCAGGAGAGGATACAAGAGGAACAGACCAGCCAGCTTGTTACCTGGAGAGGATACAAGAGGAACAGACCAGCCAGCTTGTTACCAGGAGAGGATACAAGAGGAACAGACCAGCCAGATGCATATCTGTATTCCCAGTCATGTGAAATCCATAGATTAGGGCCTAATTAATATATTTCAATTGACTGATTTCCTCATATGAACTTTAACTCAGTAAAATCTTTGAAATTGTTGAATGTTGCATTTATATTTTTGTACAGTATACTCTTAATAAAACCCATCTCTAGTATCCTTCTACGCTAATAAAAGTCCTGTCTAGTATCCTTCTACGCTAATAAAAGCCCTGTCTAGTATCCTTCTACGCTAATAAAAGCCCTGTCTAGTATCCTTCTACGCTAATAAAAGCCGTCTAGTATCCTTCTACGCTAATAAAAGCCCTGTCTAGTATCCTTCTACGCTAATAAAAGCCCTGTCTAGTATCCTTCTACGCTAATAAAAGCCCTGTCTAGTATCCTTCTACGCTAATAAAAGCCCTGTCTAGTATCCTTCTACGCTAATAAAAGCCCTGTCTAGTATCCTCTCTCGCTAATAAAGCCCTGTCTAGTATCCTTCTACGCTAATAAAAGCCCTGTCTAGTATCCTTCTACGCTAATAAAAGCCCTGTCTAGTATCCTTCTACGCTAATAAAAGCCCAGTCTAGTATCCTTCTACGCTAATAAAAGCCCTGTCTAGTATCCTTCTACGCTAATAAAAGCCCTGTCTAGTATCCTTCTACGCTAATAAAAGCCCTGTCTAGTATCCTTCTACGCTAATAAAAGCCCTGTCTAGTATCCTTCTACACTAATAAAAGCCCTGTCTAGTAATCTTCTACTCTAATAAAAGCCCTGTCTAGTAATGTTCTACACTAATAAAAGCCCTGTCTAGTATCCTTCTACGCTAATAAAAGCCCTGTCTAGTAATCTTCTACTCTAATAAAAGCCCTGACTAGTATCCTTCTACTCTAATAAAAGCCCTGTCTAGTATCCTTCTACGCTAATAAAAGCCCTGTCTAGTAATGTTCTACACTAATAAAAGCCCTGTCTAGTATCCTTCTACGCTAATAAAAGCCCTGTCTAGTAATCTTCTACTCTAATAAAAGCCCTGACTAGTATCCTTCTACTCTAATAAAAGCCCTGTCTGATTAATGTCAAATGAATGGTGGGAAACTGATTCTCAGCACTCTAACTGAAATCATGTACTAGAGCAACTGAAGTTAGATGCCTGGAAGGACATACAAGACAGAACAGCATTAAGGCCCAGTATGTTCATGTATGTATGGGTCAGTATTCTTTCCAGTAAATGTCTACATGGACCGTAAATTAAATCTGCTTCTTTTTCATCATCAAAAGAGCCAACAGTCCTGTACTGGTATACTGAATGTTAAACTGAACATGACGCCACCTAGTGGAGAAAACAAACCCAGATTGTGTTTGACCAAGAGAAAGTTACAGAACAGTTTCCATAATAGAGCTCCGCCACAGGATGAAGCAGATAATAAACAAAGCCAACTTTATTGAATGTTATATTACATCATTGGGGCATGAATGCGTTTTCCAAGCGTACAAATTATGTTGAGGAGTTTGATGTTAATTAGAAAACAAGTCACAACATGTTTCAGCTTGGAACTTCGCTGTCAAGAATTATCGGTTTGATCAGCCAAAAACAAAGCATCGATTAGAGATAGAAGAGAAGAATGTAACAAACCTAAAGAACACCAGATTAGGGATTATCTACAATCTCAATCTTTCACAACTGGGATTGTAAATCTGCTCGATTCTACCCAACATTGATTTATAAACTAAAATACATTTCTAGGTTTCCACAGGGACAAACTGAAAACTAGGATGAAAGAGACCAACAAAGAGACATTAGGTATTTAATGAGAGGGGTTTGTTTTCTGTATGAAGGTGTGGATGAGAGAGAGAGAGAGGTTTGTTTTCTGCATTGACAGTTTGCCTTAAACAAGGACCATAGCTGGGATCTTCAGTGGGAGTCCGGTTCAGATGCCAGAGTCTACATCGACCAGCTCTGGGGGCATGGGGGACTTGGGGTGTTTACTCTCAAAATGCTGCTTGAAGGTTTTGGGGTCCGGCATCTGTGACTGTGTAGAGGCAATGCACAGGACAGGGTCGTCAATCATTTGCATTCAATTTATTTCATAGGATTATGTTGCTATTTTAACAGAAAAAAGGGTGAAATACCACCACAACAATTGTGTTAAGTAACAAACCATAACAAATGAAGCATGATTGAGAAATCTGGTTGGAAAACAATAGCTGCTGTATTTAGGAAACTGTTTGAACAGAGCTACCACAGAGCAGCAGCAGAGCTACCACAGAGCAGCAGCAGAGCTACCACAGAGCAGCAGCAGAGCTACCACAGAGCAGCAGCAGAGCTACCACAGAGCAGCAGCAGAGCTACCACAGAGCAGCAGCAGAGCTACCACAGAGCAGCAGCAGAGCTACCACAGAGCAGCAGCAGAGCTACCACAGAGCAGCAGCAGAGCTACCACAGAGCAGCAGCAGAGCTACCACAGAGCAGCAGCAGAGCTACCACAGAGCAGCAGCAGAGCTACCACAGAGCAGCAGCAGAGCTACCACAGAGCAGCTGCACTCCCTGGCCTACTGTTGATCACCAGGGTCGTATTCACTAGACACCAAACGGAAGAAAACGGACTGAAAACGTTTTCTATTGAAAAACAGTACTACGTTTTGTTACGGGGAGCACTAATGAATACGACCCCTTGATCCTGCAACCCAACTTCAAATGGTTCATAGTCCCCGATTGAAAAGCAACCACTTTTCTTTAATAAGGAACTCACCAGGCAGACACCGCAGGTGTGCACTAAAGCTGCCTTGGCGGCCGTCTTCTGGTCATGTCCTTTGGCCTTCTTGGCCTCGGCTTGCTTCTTGGCATTCTTCTGCTGAGACTGGACTTTTTGATGACCACGTGCCATGTCTGGTCCTAGAGCTGGAGGTACAAGCCAACAGGCTGGGTGAGTGTTACTGAATAGGTTATCATCAATAAAACTTCACAATATGGTACAGAGCGTTCAATTTGGCTGCGGGGGGCAAGGAGACCCCAGCTGCGGTGAAAGGAGACCCCAGCTGCGCTGAAAGGAGACCCCAGCTGGGGTGAAAGGAGACCCCAGCTGCGCTATCTATTGCCAACTATGTGCAGTTTTACTGCAAGAATAAGGTCAGTAATTTTTATTCATGGGTTTTGGGGGGAATTGATATCTGGACATTGCAATAGAAATGTTTTCTGCTGTAGTGAGGGTAGTGATCCGCTGATAATCCGAAGGGGATTCATCAGGTACACCGTTTTTAGACGTTTATTTAGAGAAAACCATGCGCCAGTATTCTGGATAAATGGAAAACAGCACCGGGTGAGATCCGTTGAGAAAGTGGGTCCGAAATGATTCATGGTAGTTGAGGCCATTACCAACAGAAACTATAAGGGATACTTGGTACTATAGACACTAATGTGTAAGAGGAAGAATTCTGAAGGTATGAGATTTTCTAGAATTATCGAGATTAAACCGTAGAGGGTAAATACCTGCACGTATGAGATGTTCTAGAATTATCAATAAGACTCAATAGAAAGAAGAACTCTTTAATGTATGAGATAGTTATAGGGGTATCCTGATTTGAGAAAAAGGTCACGTGTACGGGGTTGATCATATGACGTCAATATATTGTATTTCGGTACATTTAGGGAATTATGGTAAAAGTAACCATAGGTAAAGGTCAAATGTTGATAGAATTAACATTCAGAATTTGGGCACTAATATTGATTGTGTGTTGGGAAATAGCGTTGTGTGAATGTGATATGAAAGTCGTGGGAATTAATTAATCTAAAATTTTGAGAATAATCGGTTGATATAATGATATCTTGGGGTTTGTAAAAAACACTGCTTGTCATAGAATAGTGTGAGATTCTGGGAGGATTTTATGACCTGAGGGGGAAGGGTCGAGGTAGCTAACGTTGGTCCGGTTGGAACTAGATTAACTTGTGGCAATAAAGAATCAGAAATACGAATGGGTTAGTTGATAGAGATATATAAAAAAATGATGAAATTGATTATTAAAGAGTGGATAAAAGTGGAATAATTATAATAACTATCCATCACGTCAGAGCAATGTAGTAAAGGGAGGTATAAAATACACAGAGAATAGCAGAAAGGTTATATCTAGTCAGAAAACAGAAAACTTAGAGACTGAGCAAGAAAAGAACAGAAGGGAGAGGAAGGATTTGACGGCCACATTGGGAGAGAAGAAGAAGAGAGAGGGAGGCTACCAATACAGGAGGCAGAATAGGAAAGGTGACGAGAGGAAGGATTTGACGGCCACATTGGGAGAGAAGAGAAGAGAGAGGGAGGCTACCAAGACAGGAGGCAGAATAGGAAAGGTGACGAGAGGAAGGATTTGACAGCCACATTGGGAGAGAAGAGAAGAAGAGAAGAGAGAGGGAGGCTACCAAGACAGGAGGCAGAATAGGAAAGGTGACGAGAGGAAGGATTTGACGGCCACATTGGGAGAGAAGAGAAGAAGAGAAGAGAGAGGGAGGCTACCAAGACAGGAGGCAGAATAGGAAAGGTGACGAGAGGAAGGATTTGACGGCCACATTGGGAGAGAAGAGAAGAAGAGAAGAGAGAGGGAGGCTACCAAGACAGGAGGCAGAATAGGAAAGGTGACGAGAGGAAGGATTTGACGGCCACATTGGGAGAGAAGAGAGAAGAGAAGAGAGAGAAGGAGAGGGAGGCTACCAAGACAGGAGGCAGAATAGGAAAGGTGACGAGAGGAAGGATTTGACGGCCACATTGGGAGAGAAGAGAAGAAGAGAAGAGAGAGGGAGGCTACCAAGACAGGAGGCAGAATAGGAAAGGTGACGTGATTTAGGTCAATTAAGAATTGGTTAAAAACACCACGAAGGGATTATTTGACGTGAGTACATATAAGTTTCTATCGTTATATATGTATTAACTTGCTCACCCAAACGTAGACGTACGTCATGGGTGGGAATGTACTTAATATGGGTTTTCTAAGTTTGTACCGTTGTTGGATCATGTGATAAGGTTTAATGAATAATCGGACCATAAGTCATGTGATTATAGACGTATAATATAGTACAAAGCCAATATAGTGTTCCATTGAACTATTATGGGTTATTATCATTTGGCATTTCAAATGAGACCCCACCTCTTTAAGGAATACCTGGGATAGGATAAAGTAATCCTTCTACCCCCCCCCCCCCTAAAAAAAAAAAAAAAAAAAAAGATATTGTAAAGTGGTTATCCCACTGGCTATAGGGTGAATGCACCTATTTGTAAGTCGCTCTGGATAAGAGCGTCTGCTAAATGACGTAAATGTAAATGGCATAGAGTGAAATCTGTATTTATGAGTGTAATTCAACTGCTGGTATGGGTTAGGGTTAGTATGCTGGGGGTTAGGGTTAGTATGCTGGGGGTTAGGGTTAGTATGCTGGGGGTTAGGGTTAGTATGCTGGTATGGGTTAGGGTTAGTATGCTGGTATGGGTTAGGGTTAGTATGCTGGTATGGGTTAGGATGCTGGTATGGGTTAGGGTTAGTATGCTGGGGGTTAGGGTTAGTATGCTGGGGGTTAGGGTTAGTATGCTGGTATGGGTTAGGGTTAGTATGCTGTATGGGTTAGGATGCTGGTATGGGTTAGGGTTAGTATGCTGGGGGTTAGGGTTAGTATGCTGGGGGTTAGGGTTAGTATGCTGGTATGGGTTAGGGTTAGTATGCTGGGGGTTAGGGTTAGTATGCTGGTATGGGTTGCATGACCGGATACTACTGAGTATTTGGTTTGGTGATGGGGGGGGGGGGGGGGGGGGGGGGGTAGATCGTTTGTGTTGCCGAATGAGGTGAGAGTTGAAAAACTACTGAGAATAGAGAAGTATAATGGACATACTATCGTAATAAATAAACTGAACCAAACATGACGTGACTACAGCAATTTAGGATGATTGTTGTTGTTATGTTAGTTTTTGAACCCTACGATAGAGGTAAAGGCAGAACGCAGAAGAGGTTCCATGTTTTTGTCTGCGGATGTTAGCCATTGGGGTTGGCTGGAACGTGAGAGCGCTGTTAGGGATATTCAATGGTGACTGTGGAGAAGAAGTCATAGGGTATGAAAAATGTATACACTCACTAACTGGAAGTCGCTCTGGATAAGAGCGTCTGCTAAATGACTCAAATGTCAAATGTAAATAGGGGGTTGAGTGTTTGGGATGAAAGGACTGGCTAGTTGGGGTTGCGAGCTAGTGACGTTTGGAGTAGTGACGTGGCTTGCTGTGCGACATGGTTGTTTGGTGTGCTTTGCAAGAAGAGCGGATTTTGTGGAGCGATGGGTAATGGTGTTTCGATGGTAAATGTTGTCGATATGTGTAGAGGATCCTTGGTTCGAGTCCAGGAAGGGACAGAAAGCAAATATTTTGCATTGATGCTATTGACCTAGATTACTAGATGAATTGATAACATTACGTGAAAGGAATTGTCTTACCAACACATAGCGGATAGTATAACATAGTAATTAAAGTTGCATATCGGTGAATAGATGTTTTGTTAGTTTTGACTATAACTTTACAATAATTTGTCATCCGTTAAAGTACTGTTATATGGAAAGTTAGCGATAGAGAATAATAGATATTGTAGAGGGTTTACAAAGTAAGTAAGTTAATGGGGTTATGCTGAAAAACTAATCTGTTTATGGTACGTTGAACAATGGGATATAGGGAACTATTAGGATGATGGATTAAATCAACATTTTTTGTAAGTATGAAGTTATTAAACAATAGGTTTATATTTTAAAACAATGCAACAGGTTGCGATGTTTAAATTAATAGAAAGGTGTTATAGGTTTATATTAGAAGGTGTAGTGAACTTAATGAAACGTGGTATTATATAGTGTCTTCCAGGATTGATGGAAGTCTCCTATAGCATTATGTTAAGGGGAGAGTAGGAGACAACGTAACAAAGCATTTTTAAAATAGATGCCTGGGATAAAATATCACGGCTTCCTTACACTGAGTAATTGATTATAGTGCGAATGGATAAAATATGACATTTAGAGGGGTGACAGGAACAATATCAGGGGAAACAGATATTTCCTATGTGTCAGAGGAAGGCCCTCAAAATTGTCAAAGACTCCAGCCACCCTAGTCATAGACTGTTCTCTCTGCTACCGCACGGCAAGCGGTACCGGAGTGCCAAGTCTAGGTCCAAAAGACTTCTCAACAGCTTCTACCCCCAAGCCATAAGACTCCTGAACAGCTAATCATGGCTACCCGGACTATTTGCACTGCCCCCCCACCCCATCCTTTTTACGCTGCTGCTACTCTGTTAAGTATTTATGCATAGTCACTTTAACTCTACCCACATGTACATATTACCTCAACTACCTCAACTAGCCGGTGCCCCCGCACATTGACTCTGCAACGGTACCCCCCTGTATATATAGCCTCCCTACTGTCACTTTATTTTACTGTATATATAGCCTCCCTACTGTCACTTTATTTTACTTCTGCTCTTTTTTTCTCAACACTTTTTTTGTTGTTGTTTTATTCTTACTTTTTTGTTTAAAATAAATGCACTGTTGGTTAAGGGCTGTAAGTAAGCATTTCACTGTAATGTCTGCACCTGTTGTATTCGGCGCATGTGACCAATAAAATTTGATTTGATTTGATTTGATTGATCTAGTAACGATACCAGGATCATTTGATACGGGATCAAAAGGAGCAGATTTAGGGGTTGAATAATCACTGTGATAATTACAGAGGATGAAGTCTGAAGGGTAATCAATTTAAAATAATCATTGTAAACTCAGACATTTGAGTGGTTTTCATCTTTTGAGAGATTGTTTGTCATCTTCTTCTGGAGTAGTTATGTGGAATTAGATTAAAACAAACCATTATTGATGTGAGATAGGACAGGG